GTCTGATAATCAGTGATGTGATATTGGGCAGGTGTTAATGTCAGTAAACTGGTCTGATAATCAGTGACCTGATATTGGGCATGTGTTAATGTCAGTGAACTGGTCTGATAATCAGTGATGTGAAATTGGGTATGTGTTAATGTCAGTAAACTGGTCTGATAATCAGTGATGTGATATTGGGCAGGTGTTGATGTCAGTGAACTGGTCTGATAATCAGTGATGTGAAATTGGGCGGGTGTTAATGTCAGTAAACTGGTCTGATAATCAGTGATGTGATATTGGGCAGGTGTTAATGTCAGTAAACTGGTCTGATAATCAGTGACCTGATATTGGGCAGGTGTTAATGTCAGTGAACTGGTCTGATAATCAGTGATGTGAAATTGGGCGGGTGTTAATGTCAGTGAACTGGTCTGATAATCAGTGATGTGATATTGGGCGTGTGTTAATGTCAGTGAACTGGTCTGATAATCAGTGATGTGATATTGGGCAGGTGTTAATGTCAGTGAACTGGTCTGATCATCAGTGATGTGATATTGGGCAGGTGTTAATGTCAGTGAACTGGTCTGATAATCAGTGATGTGATATTGGGCAGGTGTTAATGTCAGTGAACTGGTCTGATAATCATTGATGTGAAATTGGGCAGGTGTTAATGTCTATAAACTGGTCTGATAATCAGTGATGTGATATTGGGCAGGTGTTAATGTCAGTGAACTGGTCTGATAATCCGTGATGTGATATTGGGCAAGTGTTCATGTCAGTAAACTGGTCTGATAATCAGTGATGTGATATTGGGCATGTGTTAATGTCAGTGAACTGGTCTGATAATCAGTGATGTGATATTGGGCATGTGTTAATGTCAGTAAACTGGTCCGATAATCAGTGATGTGATATTGGGCGTGTGTTAATGTCAGTGAACTGGTCTGATAATCAGTGATGTGATATTGGGCAGGTGTTAATGTCAGTGAACTGGTCTGATAATCTGTGATGTGATATTGGGCATGTGTTAATGTCAGTGAACTGGTCTGATAATCAGTGATGTGATATTGGGCATGTGTTAATGTCATTGAGCTGGTCTGATAATCAGTGATGTGATATTGGGCCGGTGTTAATGTCAGTGACCTGGTCTGATAATCAGTGATGTGATATTGGGCATGTGTTAATGTCAGTGAAGTGGTCTGATAATCAGTGATGTGAAATTGGGCAGGTGTTACTGTCAGTGAACTGGGCTGATAATCAGTGATATGAAATTGGGCAGGTGTTAATGTCAGTAAACTGGTCTGATAATAAGTGATGTGAAATTGGGCAGGTGTTAATGTCAGTAAACTGGTCTGATAATCAGTGATGTGATATTGGGCAGGTGTTAATGTCAGTGAACTGGTCTGATAATCAGTGATGTGATATTGGGTAGGTGTTAATGTCAGTAAACTGGTCTGATAATCAGTGATGTGATATTGGGCATGTGTTAATGTCAGTAAACTGGTCTGATAATCAGTGATGTGATATTGGGCATGTGTTAATGTCAGTAAACTGGTCCGACAATCAGTGATGCGAAATTGGGCATGTACTAATGTCAGTGAACTGGCTTGATAACCAGTGATGTGTTAATGTAAGTGAAGTGGTCATATAATCAGTGATGTGAAATTGGGCGGGTGTTAATGTCAGTGAACTGGTCTGATAATCAGTTATGTGATATTGGGCATGTGTTAATGTCAGTAAACTGGTCTGATAATCAGTGATGTGATATTGGGCATGTGTTAATGTCAGTGAACTGGTCTGATCATCAGTGATGTGATATTGGGCAGATGTTAATGTCAGTGAACTTGTCTGATAATCAGTGATGTGAAATTGGGCAGGTGTTAATGTCAGTGAACTGGTCGATTATCAGTGATGTGAAATTGGGCATGTGTTAATGTCAGTAAACTGGTCTGATAATCAGTGATGTGAAATTGGGCAGGTGTTAATGTCAGTGAACTGGTCGATTATCAGTGATGTGAAATTGGGCATGTGTTAATGTCAGTAAACTGGTCTGATAATCAGTGATGTGATATTGGGCGGGTGTTAATGTCAGTAAACTGGTCCGATAATCAGTGATGTGATATTGGGCATATGTTAATGTCATTAAACTGGTCTGATAATCAGTGATGTGATATTGGGCATGTGTTAATGTCAGTGAACTGGCCTGATAATCAGTGATGTGAAATTGGGCGGGTGTTAATGTCAGTAAACTGGTCTGATAATCAGTGATGTGAAATTGGGCGGGTGTTAATGTCAGTAAACTGGTCTGATAATCAGTGACGTGATATTGGGCAGGTGTTAATGTCAGTGAACTGGTCTGATAATCAGTGATGTTATATTGGGCATGTGTTAATGTCAGTAAACTGGTCTGATAATCAGTGATGTGATATTGGGCATGTGTTAATGTCAGTGAAATGGTCTGATAATCAGTGATGTGATATTGGGCATGTGTTAATGTCAGTGAACTGGTCTGATAATCAGTGATGTGATATTGGGCAGGTGTTAATGTCAGTAAACTGGTCTGATAATCAGTGACCTGATATTGGGCAGGTGTTAATGTCAGTGAACTGGTCTGATAATCAGTGATGTGAAATTGGGTAGGTGTTAATGTCAGTAAACTGGTCTGATAATCAGTGATGTGATATTGGGCAGGTGTTGAAGTCAGTGAACTGGTCTGATAATCAGTGATGTGATATTGGGCAGGTGTTAATGTCAGTGAACTGGTCTGATAATCAGTGATGTGAAATTAGGCAGGTGTTAATGTCAGTAAACTGGTCTGATAATCAGTGATGTGATATTGGGCAGGTGTTAATGTCAGTGAACTGGTCTGATAATCAGTGATGTGATATTGGGTAGGTGTTAATGCCAGTAAACTGGTCTGATCATCAGTGATGTGATATTGGGCATGTTTTACTGTCAGTGAACTGGTCTGATCATCAGTGATGTGATATTGGGCAGGTGTTAATGTCAGTGAACTGGTCTGATAATCAGTGATGTGATATTGGGCAGGTGTTAATGTCAGTGAACTGTCTGATAATCAGTGATGTGATATTGGGCAGGTGTTAATGTCAGTAAACTGGTCCGATAATTAGTGATGTGATATTGGGCATTTGTTAATGTCAGTGAACTGGTCCGATAATCAGTGATGTGATATTGGGCATGTGTTAATGTCAGTAAACTGGTCTGATAATCAGTGATGTGATATTGGGCATGTGTTAATGTCAGTAAACTGGTCCGATAATTAGTGATGTGATATTTTATATTTTACAGATTTTGAAAGTACAAAACCCAGTCAAATAGGTGAGCAAGCTACTGGTGAAAGTGATGTGACATTAGTAGATGATATTGAGTCCAAAAATTCATCTTGCACAGAAGAGCTATTCTCTCTTTCTGATTTTTCAACTTCAAATGTTGCAGGCAGTCCTTCATATTCTCCGTTACTAAATAGTTACTCCTTAGATGACAGTGATGAAGATCTACCAGATTTTAACATCAATGGATGATTTTCACAATACTAATATTTAACACATTTCCATTATATCGTACGCCTTTGATACATGATGTTTATTTGTGGAAGAAGAAATCATCTCCACATGCATACCCCCGGTAGTTTTTAGGCATTTGCGTAGAACTGGATTTAGATATACGATGTCATTTTAAATATTACTCTGGTAAATAACTATTACTTTAAAAAAATCAAATTCCAAACCATGCAAAACTGAACAGATTGTCATGCACTATATGGACAGTGAGCCCTCAATTTCTTCCAAACTGTACAATTTTAAAATGGTGTGAATTTATAAATGGTATTCCTATGACAGGACCCTTATGCACACTATTGTACACTATTTCTTTTTTAATGGTCGCTGGTAGTTGTCAGTCTCTTCAATTTAAATTTTGTGTAAATATGCAAAATGGTTTAATCATTGTAGTAGTGTTTTTTGATGTGTATTTTACAGTGCATTATTGATGTTTAGTGGGCTAATTTTTGAATAGAATACATTATCTTGATGTAATTTTATTTAATTTCAAAGTTGAAAATAAATCACTGTCCTAAAGTTGTGTTGTTTTGTAAACATATGAAGTAATGTTGTCCCTGTTGCAAGTGTAATATGGATGTCGTCTTTGTGACCAGGTAAATCGTTTCTGCATGAATTGAGTGAATAACTGACTGTACTAGTATCAACAAAAATCAGATTTATTAAATGACTAAATTTGCAATATTTGTAAGTAAAGTGTTTAATTTTTATGGCATTACTCAATGACACTTGCAATGTATTCATGGTGGGGAAATTAGAGAATGAAGCACAAGTCAAACATGAACTTGTACAAAGAAGTGACAAACTTGTTTACATGCACCCATAATTGTAATGTTGTGCAAGCTAATATGCACCCAATTTGAAAATGATGACCATATACATGTAGAAAATTAAAATATTAGAAAATGGGATCGAGAATTGAATCCTGAATTATTCAAATTCGATCACAACTCATTTCGAGCACCAATAATAAGCTGCAAAACATAGAGCAGTTGTAACAAAATTGAGAATTAGCGCCCATAGTTTAGAAATAGAGAAAGGACAATACCAAAAAATTCCTTGTAGTGGCAGAAAGTGCACTGCTTGCGACCAAAATGAGATTGAATACGAAATGAGCTTCATAATTGAATGCATGCTGTATGAAAATGAAAGAACTGAAATATGGAAGGAAATCAGTTTAATACATTTGCAACAACATAAATACCAATTGATTACAACAAGCAATAACAGCCAAAAAATAACAAAACTAGCAAGCTACATCTAATTGTTTCAGTGCCAAGCATTACAAAAAAATACCAGCTATTTCTCTTTTTTTTAAATCCTTTTCTATTTTGCTACTTCCTCAATTTTTTGTTTTTGTTGTAATTTCCAAATCAAAATAAGGATATGATAAATGATGCAATAAAGATTATTCTTATTGTCAACATAAAAAAACAAAAAAATCCATTAAAAGACTTGATTGTAAACTTTATTGATAGCCACATATATTTTGACAAATGTACAAATTTGTTAGCACTGCTATTGTGAAGTTATCAGCCCATGTTTTTTATATCTGATGGAACAATGCTGGATATGGCAAGACAGCTGGGTGTGGTTCTCTACCTCCAGGAGGCGCTCTCACATCAATATCAATTCCCTTCACTCGTAATCGAGCTAAGCTGGCTTCATTTATATCACGGCAATCTGAAACTTCTAGTTTACGTAATTTGGGGCAACAATCGCCTAGTAATCTGAAATAACAAAAATATAAATATTGGTACAGAAAATTGGGGTGAGGACATTTGCTAAGGTGATGAAATGGTTAAATGTCTGAAACTCACTTCTCAAACATTCTCATCTACTTCACTTCAAACATCAGGTTGTATCTCTGACCACTATGCCTATTATGTAGGTGTGAATTCTGGATTACACTGGTGCTATGCTTGCCACAGCAGACTTTGCTGGTAGTTTATTACCTGCTTTGTATGTTTTCGTAATGTCATTCTTGTGTCGAACACACAGATGCAGATTTAGCCTTTCTAGCCAGATCGTCATCGTTTCTGTTCAAATCAGTCAATTTGTGGACGAGTTACGGCATTTTAAATTTTTCCTACTTTCATCTACGAAATTTATAAATGCATGATAAGCAAATTTAAAGTAATATTTCTCATTATTCCCAGATTTGTCAAATAGCAGCGTTGACAGTGTTCTTTTTTTGCGGATGCTTCGTATTTTTTGTGGATAGATTTATTTAAAAAGTTGATATGCTCACACAACTATTAAAGTAATTGAAGTCATTTAATATTCACTACAAAGCTGATAATTATCTCTGTTCTCATTTTTTGTATAATTACAGAAACATGGAAAATAAACATAGAAATTTGTGGAGATTATTTAAAGGGGAGCAAAGGTGTGGCTTTTGACACTCTGTACATGAAATTTGAGATCTATGAATGAATTCTGTTGATAAAAACAACTTGTATGTGCTGCGAAATGCCCTAAATATCGGGTATAAAACGGGCTGTGAAGCAGACAAACGCCCGCTTTGCTTGGCGTCATTTCGCCTCTAGAGGGCCAGTCAGATGATGTCAGCAGTGAACATTGATAACTGAACCCATTCATGCTAGTACGTCAATCCCATAGAAATGCTACTATGAAAGACCTTGTTAACTGACCACTTAAAAGTTGAAACATGGAGAGGTGTTGTGTTATGAATGCCACAACGATTCATGTTATGTTTCTCGAAATCCCAAATAAAAATTTGCGTTGCTGGTTGCGAGAAATCGGCGGAAGAACTAACCTGAAAGTGAAGACACATACAGCGTTCTGGCTATTGTAAACAGTGAGTAAATAAATATTGTTTCTTTCACTATCTCATTTTTCGTAATTTTTTCAAACTGCAGTGCACCTAAGTCGTAAAAAATACAAAGTATGTCCCGACACAACAGTCGGGACGCAAGACATGCTCATTCTGCCTTAAACAATGCCTGTTTGGGTCCCGCTTATTGCCTTTCACGCTCGGTTGTGTCAGGATACAAGCACAAGCTGAGATACTGCCTGTACCTCCACCACCAGGGCTAGGGTCAAGTGTGTCCCATTCTCCTAGTGATCTCTCCTTTAGAGGGTCAGTGGGGGGACAACTCACATCAGTGGGAAAGGGAGCATCCACTTTTTTAATAAAGGGGGCTCTATCCCTGGAACGGATCGCCTTGCGCGTCCTCTTCCATACCCCCCCCCAGGCTCGGGCTAACCAGGCATTGTTTCCTGCGTCTTTCCAAGCCGTGCAGAGTGCCCCCACTTATGACTCTGCGAGGGGACTCCAGTGTTGGTACCCCTGTACAGGGCGGTATGCAACCCTCTTATGGGGTGCAGCTACCATTTCTCCAACAGGAGGGGGGGTGAGCGCTTTGTCGTTTCTCGTCTCATCTTTGTCGGGGCAGTCACAGGATACCCAACCAACCGGAGCCCAGCTGTCCCTTACTAATATGCAGTTAAGGTTGCAGCTTGTGAACCAGGCAGTGATGGCCGCGAGACTTGTACGCCCGTTGGCCAACTCCCCTGAGTGCCTCGTGTGACCCAGGCTATGGAGGAGGCTCAGAGGGTGATGGAGGGGTGATTGGTACCCTTCGGGAGAAAAGGACAAACAGCTTAAACCTGGTTTCGGAGCGGTCACGTCCAATGCCTTCCGTTGGGTGAATCGATATCCCATTGGGGCTATGTGAACCGTTGATAGGTCCCGGTGTTGGACACGTGGTACCACAGTCTCTCCATAGGTTCCCTGTCCTTAACCCGGTACCCATACTTTTGTTATGGCGGGTAGTGCAGATCGAGAAGGCCACGTTGCGTGGTCATTTGACCGGCACCAATGCCTACTAGTGCATAGGGCTTTACGGGCGGAACTTAGACCCATCAAGTTTATAGAATGGGCTTCTTTAGTGTTAGAGCGTCAGCTCAACAGCAAGCCTCGATCCTCGGCAGATGGGCCAGTCCCTGGCGACGCAGAGAGTCGCTATGTGTGATATCTTGTAAGTCCATACTGCCCTCTTGACAGGAGCGGTTTCGGCTGAGCGTGAGGCAGTTCTGGGTCTGTGCGCCTATCCTAATCTGTGACCGGCTATTTAGTGGACGGTTAGTGGATGCGGTGAATGGTTTGGCGGTTGCTGAGGATCAGCGTATCCAATTTAAGCAATCGTCCCTGTTGGCCAAAGTAGCTAGTCCTTCTGGTCAATGGTTCTAACTAAAACTACAAGGCAGCCCAGGCAGTAAGTCCTCCGCTCTGAGCCACAACCAGCGAGGATCAAAGCGCTCATAGTCTCCTTCGAAGGGGCAGAAAAAGACTAGTAGCGGGAAGCGTCAGAGAAAGCCCAAGAAACGTGGTGTTGGTGGTGGGTGTTCTGACACTTCTGGGGACCAGGGGGCCGCGAAGTCTCTTTGAAGGTTCGCCGACTGCCTGGACATGGATGGTGGTACGACTCCGGGTCTCCCTCCCCAGAGTCCTCGGGCTCAGTCTCCCCCTCTTCGTCCTAACATACTGGAGGCTGGAGTTCGGGTAGCACTAGCTCCAAATCCCCGTCCGCTCCTTCCAATGGGATCGTGCCTTATGTAGCACATACCAGCTTGGCGCAGGGTATCAGATTCCTCTTCAGTCTCCTCCTCCTCTGAGTCCTCACCCTCCCTCAGGTCTTTTGTCGAGGGATGAGGTCAAGGCGGGGACGATCCGACAGGAAGTAGCAAGCCCCGTATTTATTGCCAGGGTTCTTTCCCACATCTTCCTTGTTCCCAAGAGTTGGGGGGTGGCGTCCAGTTCTAGACTTCAGTCGCCTGAACGGGTTTGTGGAACTTAAGCGCTTCCGGATAGAAACACCAGCGGGCATTGCTGGATATGAGCGACGCTTACCTCCACATTATGATTCACCACTCATGCAGCCGATATCTCAGATTCCCATCTGAGGGCAAAGTTTACCGCCTTTATTTTCGGTCTGTGCACGGCACCGTATGTCTTCACCAGTGTGCTAAGACAGGTGACCCAGCTGCTACACTGGTCGTCTGCCTATCCAAACCCACATCTTGACGACTGGTTATTACACAACTGAGACAGGGAGGCTTTAGTGGAGCACATGCTTTTGACGCAGATTCTCCTCCATGAGTTGGCCTTTTCAATAAATATTGCCTAGTCCAACCCAATACCATCCTACAGCCTGGTTTTTCTGGGTATGCAGTTCGACATGGATCAAGGGCTTGTTTGCCGTCGCAGGAGCGATGCAACTCTCTTGTAGAGTTCACCAGCCAACTCCTGTCGTCGGGATTGGTGTCGATACACGAACTGATGACTTCAGTTCGTCGTCTGGCTCTCCGGTCTCATCCAATTCAGAGGTGCTTACAGGATCCACATGCGAAACCTGACGTTCAGGGGTTCGATCATTGGACCAAGCAATGTCTGCCCTCCTTTGGCGGAACGACACATGGTACTTGGAAACAGGAACTCCCCTAGATCCGACGACTCCCTCGCTGACTCTCATTACAGATGCGTCGCCCCAGGGATGGGGCCGTCTGCATATTTAGGCCGCCACATCTATTGGTTGGAGTTGCAGACCGTCCTACTGTCTGAAATTTTTCAGGGAGTCGCACACCATCACAGAGTCCTGCTTTGGACAGACAACACCTTAGTAGTGTCAAGGAAAGGAGGGACACGTTCCCCCATGTTGTCGAAGCTAGCGGAGGAGATTCTCCTTTGGTGCCTGGATAACCCGGTTGAGCTATCGGCTTACCACCTCCCAGGGATACGCAACAGCGCTGTAGACGCCCTCTCGAGACGTATCCAGTTTCAGAACACCGAGTGGCAGACCCCCCCTCCCTAATGGGTGGCGGACCCGCAGTTTTGTCTCTGGGATGGGCCCCAGATAGTTCTGTTTGCCAATCACTGGAATGCCAAGCTCCCGGCGTACGTGTCACTCCTCTCAGAGACGAGCGCTTTCGCCATGGACGCTCTATCCATCTACGCTTCCAAGTGGGAGCCAAGTGTTGGAGAAGTTGTGACTCAAGCCCACCTGTCTTCTGACTTGGGTGGCGCCCAATTGACCTGTGAAGGTCTGGCTCCCAATGTTGCTGGAACTTCCAGTTGAGTCGCCGAATATCCCGGATCTGTTGTCCCAGCCGGACGGCACTCTACCGATGAGCCCGCTCTATTCCATATTCACGCGTGGAGGCTGTCAATAAACCAAGCACTAGGCTTTTCTGCAAAGTTGTCCAAGTTCCTCGCTTTGGCACAGTCGGACGGCACCAGACATTTGTATGAATCCAGATGGAGACCGTACATTGATTGGTGTTACGGAAGCTAATCCTCCTGACTGGTACTTGTCGTTGGTCTAATGGCGTTACGACCCCCCCTGGAGCCTATGGATAAGGCGAACACGAAGTATGTCACTATGTAAACAGTTTTTTCTTTTGGCTCGAGCGTCAGTCGCTTACCCTGGAGACAGGTGATGTTTTGTTGACGATTGGGCCAAAATCGTCTACAGTATTGAAGCCGTAGCTGTAAACATTCATCAAAATGTATCAACATTCTGTACATTATACAATAACTCTTTATTAAAGTGATTGAGCTGATTTGGACTGGAATAAAATATTTTTTATTTGGAACACATCGCAATTGATCAGGAAATATTTGTTTGCTCCAGTTTTCTGCGTCGATGCCGTGGGCTGGTGACCGTTATACAATTGTTTACAGTGTTCTAATCATTACGATTTACTT